TAGGAAGGAAGGAAGGAAGGGGGACGTATAACCGAAATTGTTGCTTTTCGCTGCGAAATGTACGACATTTTCATGCATGACAGATGCAAACCCACAGTAGCCCCGTATATGCAGTGCACACGTTTAATTATGCGCCCGATGACTTTGCTGTTCCACAGAGAGAGCAAGCGATACCACTAAAAAGGGGGGTTGAGGGATTACTGTCATGACCCGCGCCTGGTAATTGTAATTAGCGCGAACAGTGAACTCGTCCGATCACGGTACCCAAGGCCCGGTACGAGAGATGCAAGAGAAGATGAGCGACCATGAGCAGCGTGTATTCACACAAAGCAAGTTAGAGCAAGGCGTTAGCACACAGGGGTCATGCGTATTAATGGTCCACGTCGAGACACTGTCCAATTGGACACGGACCAATCAGAATTGAGGATACGAGACAGTGAGGAGACCTGACGACCGCCTTAGTGTGTTATCACTCATCGTTGGAATGGACGCATCCCCAGCAAGTACAACTAAAGGTCGAAAAGGCTATCCATATTGTCGAATACTGTTTCGTAAAGAATACCAGAGAATATGAATTCACCGAAAAATGCAGCAATCCTGTTTGAATGCCAAGATCGGCACTCCAGAGTGTAAAGACCCAAGATACGGACTAGTTATTTAAGTTCATCAAGGTTAGCACTTTTTTGATGGGAGCCCAGGATGGAGGTGATGTGATCAAGTGTCAGTGAAGAAGCCGATGCCCCTTCTCTCTCGTAGCCGCTGACCCCCTTCCCGCCGCCGCTGTCTTCGTCCGTATCATTCTCCCGCACCCTATAGCAGCATTCCCATACCGTCCTTGTAGTTGCTGCCAGCACCGTATTTCCCTACGGTAGGTGATCGGACATAAGCTGGGACTTTATCAGTGTAACCCCTTTAATTACTGTATATTATTTACTTTCCGTGTACATATGCATTTATATGCCAAAAGATTCGGGGGTCCAGATATGTTATCCCGTCCAAAGACCCGCTGCCAGTAACTGAGCAACCAGCCGTAGTCTGCAGCATACCATGCAAAAACTGCAAGGCGAGGTATGTTGGGCAAACGGGCAAACGCCTGGGCCGAAGATTGCACGAATA